CTTTAGTGTCGGTACGGGTAAGAGCTAGGGTAGTAACAGGAGCAGACCTAGTCTTAATAGTCTCTATCTCTTAACGGAGCTCTAATATCTGTTGCGCGTGTCAATTCTCTTGCTCGGCTAGGTTAGCAAGGAGTGCTTCGTTGCTAGCCTTTAACGCAGCCGAGTCCGCTTAAATTGCGTTCAGCTAACGCAAGATTAGCTGCAACGCGTCAGGTTGTTCGTGGGTAGTCATAGTAGGTTGACGCAACGTAATGTTACGAGATGCTACGAGCACGTGTTTAAGAGCTTACTAGAAGCGTTAATTGTAGCTACGTACGATATCTAGTGTAATACAAGACGTTGCGTAAGGAAACAGAATTAGCATGTACAGGCAGTAAGAAGTTATCGATGGGGGCTGTGCGCATGGCGCTAGGCCCGGCCGGCCAATCAGCAGAATCCTGGTGCTTGGCGGAGCACTCGGATTCTGTAGCGCGTTCAGTGTCAAGGGAACCACGGTGGTTACCGTGACACTCGGTCACGTGCGCGAGGCGCACTGTCCACAGATTCCGGGTGCCCCCCCTAAGCACCCGGATTCTGTGCAAGCGAGCCCGGCAGAAGGTTATCCCGAGCCGCCGCCCCCTGAACGACCTTCAGAACCCTAGCTACCTGTAGTTCTCTTCTCTATCGAATACAACTCCAGTATACCTGTGCGATAGCTCCCTGAGTGTCACGAGATGCTACGAGCACGTGTTTAAGAGCTTACTAGAAGCGTTAATTGTAGCTACGTACGATATCTGGTGTAATACAAGACGTTGCGTAAGGAAACAGAATTAGCATGTACAGGCGGTAAGAAGTTATCGATGGGGGCTGTGCGCATGGCGCTAGGCCCGGCCGGCCAATCAGCAGAATCCTGGTGCTTGGCGGAGCACTCGGATTCTGTAGCGCGTTCAGTGTCAAGAGAACCACGGTGGTTACCGTGACACTGAGCGTAGCCCCTTACAAGGACTAAGTTTAGAAAGTTAAAGCAATTAGCGCCAGTCTAAAAGGGCTTGGTTTAAGACATTAAGGGTAAGGGGTTTGGCAGAGCCTAGTAATAAGAAAGTTGTGTTAGCTATCCCTACTGCATAGGCACTAAGCAAATAGAAATATAAGACCGTAAGGATAGTAGTAATCGAATGCAATTGTTAGTTGTGTAAGCTTTTGTCAAGGAGAGAGTTAGAAGCGTGCTTGAATTATATACAACAAAGTCTAAAGCTCGGTTGCTCTCAAATTCGAGTCAGATATCACCCCTACATGTTGCGGATACAATCCGTTGGAAACCGTTCGAGGTGATACCCATCGTTTCAAGGTGACCATCAGGATGTCGAACTCTAAGCCTCAATGCAGTTCGAGGCATTCCTTTATTGACTACCCTAGAGCGGAATGCCATACGTCCGACATCCGACGTCCAAAACGGCTCTATCTTGCTCTTCCTGTCCTGTTATTGCGTAAAGCGCCAGCCTCACGGGTTTAGCCGCGTGCTGCGCAGCTATGCTCGGAGTGGCAGACGTGGCAGACAGCGGGCACGGTGCGGATGTTCATTCACGTCGCCCCACTTCATCTCTCGAGAGGAACCATGTGTCCCCCGAGGCCTGCCGAAAAAACACCACACATACTGAGATAGACTAGCTCAATACTTTGATGTGCTACGAGAGAAGAAAGCCTTTGTACCTTTGTTCGATACATTTTTTAAAACGTAATTGCACGACAAAGACTTTTTGTTTTTTTATAGATGATCATGGTACCAAAGGTAACCGTAAGCATTGTCCGTGGGCACCGGATGAAAAGATTCGGAAATTATATAAGCGTAACCAAACCTATGTAATTCCAGATATCGGTTAGAGCTATGCATCCTTGCTATCATAAGCTTGAACGCGTTACACATCTCTCCATCTGTGTTTCTTAGTCCAGATACTTATAGTTTTATTAAAGAGTCTTATTCTCTTTGACCCGTCGGATAGATCCCGGGCAATGTACTTCCGGTTGTCGTGGATGAAAAGTTCGTGGTCCTGTGAAGCATTGTCGTCTTCATTTATGTCACAGGTGTAAAAAAAAAGCATTGTGTGAGGCTTCTTCAAGCTCTGTTGTCTCGATCACGCGTTCGATAGCGTTGAGATGCTCTTCGGTGGGACAAAACGTTGAAATCCGGATAGATCGAGCACCCACTATCGTTTCGTACTCGTACGACATGTTGACCAGTAGTTGATCTCTCGAAGTCTACACAGCCTCATAAATAGAGTATATATGTCTTGTAAGATCGCCCAGGACATATGTGTGTGCCTATATGGGAGCTAAGATCCCCCAAAAGTATGAGGTAGTAGAGAGGGCGTATAACATGGTTCCGTCGTGGATGACTCATGAATATAGAAGATGATGTAGAATTATCGTGGTGTTGAAGGTGCCTTAGTACTGGCTGACTGCCACGTAGATACGTCCAACGGATACCGTTACAAGGCGTTCAGCCTCAGCTGAGAACCTGCAAATCGATATTTTGAACCAAACGAACCAATCAGCTAATGATGAGGGACATTGTTTAACTAAGCGAACGCTTCTAGAGTGTACACTGCAATACCATGTTGATCTCGGCGCACTCCATCGAAGTTTGAAGACTCTTTCATTGCATATATATATATATACTCCGCAGACAGCACTCATTCATGAGTGACGACGGCTCTTATTTTAGGTCATAATTATCCTCCAACCTCGCTCATACTTATAAGCCCAGGTATCACAGCCATCTGCTTTCAGCTGCCAAGACTTCCAAGAGCACCCCACGTTCAAACTCTCGCTTTGAAATGTTTTGTGGTTGCTTCGCACTAAAAACCTTTCTACCGCGCGGTTCTGAGCTCGTCGACGCTTCCCATCCGTTAGTACAAGATGTTGCCATGCGCTGTGAAATTGAACTTACAATTGAAGTAGGGTTCCTGGTCTTCGTTACTTTGGACCCAGTACCTACAGGTATGTAAGCTGACCCAGAGTGTTGTATTGGATAGAGATTGTTGTAATGACTCTCAAGCTCAAGAGCTGAGTCAACATCCGAAAACGTCGTTGGCTGCGAGTACAGATCATCAACGATGCCATGATCTTGAATGTGATCTAAGATTGCAGGATCTGGTCGTATGTAGAGAACGTTTTGGCCACGTTAGGGCGGAAGCGTCAATGCTGTCCTAATTTGTAGTTCATACTGGCGATCCGCCTGGATTGAGAGCATCGGCAAAACAAGCAGGGATCTTCAACATAGTGCTGGTGTCCTACGGTATCTACTCTCCTCTGTCAATGAATGACTGGGGATTCATGGCGCATGTCGTACGATCAAGGTCCTCAAGTGGGGACAGGAAGGTGAATAGTGTTTGCACTGTGGCCAACATGGGATGCTAAGCTTGTTTGACATTCTCATGTAGTTCTCGAAGGTAGGAAATGTGAACGTTTGATTTGCGGGGTTGAAACGCGAATGCGGAAGTGAGAGTTGAAGTCAATGTGCACAGGTTGTGAAGATACACTTGTATGAAAGTGAGCCCATCTAAGACCTCATGTATGCCCGGATGTGTGTAGATGCGGACGATGCATCAGGCTATACAAGAGCTGGTGCGCCATATTAACAATGAACTTTGTCGGCATCGAGGCCTTTGGTATCTTGTGTGGCTTTTAGCTGAAACGTGCCCATAACAGTATTACAATTGGATACGCTGGGTTCGTCCGTTTTGACATGGGCATCTGGCATAGTTTAACATCACGGCAAACTTATCGGCAGACTGTCCGCCATGGCGGCATCTCATTGCTAGTTAGCGCCGGCGTAAAGTGTACATCGCATAGCGAATTGTGTGCCTTAGGTACCCCCTTGCCGTTCATCGGCTTGATTTAGTCTTACCGCGGGCCGCGAAGAGATCCTGAATTGACCCTGCCTCCGTAAATATGTATCTTGTATCGTCTGAGAATCAGTCAGCAACCACTCCCTCAAGCAGTCCAATAGTTTCGCAGATGAAAAACCTATCGGATTGTGAGGGTCAGTTGATCAGCGGCCCAGCGCGATGGCTGGACATTTGCCGTTACACATACACTACTAGGCGCGACTTCATAGAAGTTGTGTGTCGCAACATGCCACTGACCTGCCGCTGGCGTGCCGCCGGCTTGCCGCGAAGTTATCGAAGGAGCTTGTTTTTCTTGAGTTCTGGGGGTTCATTCGATACCCCAAATGAGCCCGAAACTTGAATGAATCGAGCTCCTTCGTAGGCGCGATGTTCCGCAATTCACGCAGAAACGGCTTGGTGTACATTCGCTTCTTGACTGTTACCCTGCCTTTGAGCCTTCTCGCGACCGAGTAGGAACTGCGTGAAGATAATAGAGCAGCAAGAAGAACAGGGGTACCGTGCCCCTCTATTGATGATGCTTATTGATCACTTCTGGTTTGATCGGCTGCAGGTACTAGGCACTTGCCGACGGCGAGCGTAGCTATATGCGGGGTACTGGTAGCTTGGGTTCGTGTTGCTTGGCTGGACTAGCTCCTCACCCCACCGGCTGACTGATTTCAAGGTACATCTGTTCTCCAATTCACAGTCAACTTATAAATAATGCTGCTGTCGAGAAATCGTTCCTTACTTTTCAGCTACATCATCTTTCTAGTGCGGTTCAAAACTATCACAAATGTCCAATCTATCTTGCCCCGGCGATAGCAATGATTGCGGCTCCCGTCTCCACATTGAAGATCCTACGTGCTCGGCCGTTATCAGCCCAGTAAATCTCGAAAGCGACCCAGAAGTAGGTCGACACCTCACTTCGACAAGCTGCGTAGTCGACAAGGAAGCACAAGAAGCACCACATGCTCAACACCCCATCGACAAAAGGGATGCTGGCATTCGGAGAATTATCCGAAACTTTACACCCTCGTACGTACCAGTCCCCCAATTCCATGTGATTGAAATTGACAAGATTCGCATCAACACAGGTGGTTCATCATTACTATGAGTACGGGAGCACTATCGATCATGTTGCATCAGATACCCTACCATGCCCGCTGGCTCACCATCATTTCTGAGATCTTCTTCGTTTTCAACATCATCTTATTTCTTCTGTTCGCTCTGATCTCAGCTCTGCGCTACACTATGTATCCCCAGTTGTTCCCAGCTGTGCTTCGGCATCCCCATCAAAGCTTGTTCCTTGCGACGTTTCCGGTTGGGCTTGCGACGCTGATCAACATGATTGTGCTCGTATGTGTACCCGCATGGGGTCAAGGCATGGCTATTTTCGCTTGGGTATTGTGGTGGATCGATAGTGTTCTAGCGGTCATCACCTGTTTTCACCTGACTTGGGTAATGTAAGGACTATGTCCTATGGCGTGGCTTTTGCAAGGTTTGGCTGACAATAAACACAGAATGACGAACCGACGGCACGACCTTGTGGAGATGACAGCGTTATACCTCATACCTATCGTTGCCATCGTTATTGCGGCAACATCCGGGGCGCTGGTGGCAGGAGCCTTGAAGAACCATACGTATCAATTATGGACACTGATAATCAGCTACATCTTTTGGGGAATTGGGACCCCTTTGTCTTGGATCATCCTGACCGTGTATTTCCTTCGCATGACAGTACACGAGCCACTTCAGCGCGAAGTGATTGTTTCGTTGTTACTTCCGGTTGGACCCCTAGGCCTATCAGGTTTCTCGTATGTTGATGACATATTTAGTTCCTATTCTTGGTAACTTCTTACACAGCTACAGGATAATAGCGCTCGGAAAGGTTGCTAGACATCTCTTTCCATTGACCGGCACCATTCCTTCTGACACTAATGCCGGAGATGTTTTCTATCTTGTTAGCTTGATGGTTGGCATCCTGCTCTGGGGTTTTGCGCTGGTTTGGTTTGTTGTCGCTATAATCATGATAGCCACTGCATATCCTTTCCCCTTTAACATGGGGTGGTGGGGCTTTATATTTCCCGTCGGTAAGTCCAAGTAATCGTCCTTATGTGTTTCAGTGTGCTCACAGCGGTGACAGGAGTCTTTACACTTTTGACCATTTCGATTGGCGAAGAATTTGAGTTTAGATTCTTCAACATTCTTTCATGTGTAAGTTGTGATTTTGTACATTATACATCTCCAGCTAACATAGTTAGGTCTTGACAAGCACATGCGTCGCGATGTGGCTTGTCATCGCAGCAAGAACGGTGAAACGTGCCGCTAGTGGCAAGATGTTTTTTGCACCATGTTTAGGCACGGATCTGTTCTTGAAAAAGGCTGAAGGAAGGGAATAGACCTACTTCTAAGCGACTCCCCTAAATTCTACTAGACTCTTGTTGTTTAGGTGCGAGCGATAAGACGCGATAAGAAGAGAGTGGAACTAAGGAGGGGTTGCCAAACAAGATCTGTCTGTACAACACTAAGTACCTTTTACCCCGTGAATTCGTTGAGTAGCGTACACGTAACATTCATAGTTCTAAGCTGTCTACTAATTCCGCGCAGTTATATCATCCTCCTCCGCACGTTAAGCACAGAGGTAGAGTCTTCTAAGAATGCGTTGGTGAGCTTAGTCAGCTAGCCGCATATATAGCGCTTAACCTAAAGAGAGCAACTTAACTAGAGGTCGCGCAGGCCGCGGCCCGTTTTGAGTCTCTTAACGGATGTCACCGTACCCTTCTACCGCCGATGCAACTAAGTTACCTCAGTCTTGCAGATCCACTTACTATAAGGTGGCACACAAAGCTGTCTCTCTTGCAGTTACATGTGCTTTTCTTAGGCTTTTTAATTAAGCCTTATCAGGATTGTCTACTTAATCTAGGGAAGTTCCGCTTAAGCTATTGTCAGATAGCATGTGTTGCTGTCAGATGGAAGGCGATCCAGCAGGCAATTTAGCATTAGTGTCGATTGCAGCCATGTTGCCTAACCCGCCTCGATCCTACTTCGGCCTTATTTGTGCGAGAGCATATACATCATAATAGCATCACCTTCTAGAGAGGGGACTTAATTAATAGAGAACAACAATTAATTCTATGCAACATCTCATCTTATTTGACAGCTATACACTAACTAACTTAGAAGATTTAGACGCACTAAAAGATATCGAAGAGCAATGCGTCTTAGCGGCACGACAATAAGCTTAGGTAGCATCGCTGCTACAGATTAGCAATCTAATCCAATCACATTGTTAGGTTTCTGTGTACGTAGACTCTAATAGGCAGACTTGTCAACAATCAATCTAGATCAATCTCATCAATCAAGCTGTGACAATTTGTACTGCAAGTCAAGCCAATCCAGCATATCGTAAAATAGCAGTCAATTAAGCTTGAAATTGCTAGATTAATTAATTAGATTAATAGGATTAATAGGATTTAGCCCGTACGTAAGGCTTTTGGGTTTTCTGTAGGAGCGATATGTAAGGGGCTACGCTTAGGGAGCTATCGCACAGGTATACTAGAGTTGTATTCGATAGAGAAGAGAACTACAGGTAGCTAGGGTTCTGAAGGTCGTTCAGGGGGCGGCGGCTCAGGATAACCTTCCGCCGGGCTCGCTTGCACAGAATCCAGGTGCTTAGGGGGGGCACCCGGAATCTGTAGACAGTGCGCCTCGCGCACGTAACCAAGATATTATCGAGGACTTACTAACTGGGCTCCAGCCTATTACATTACCCCCCTCCTCCCCTCCTTTTTAGGGGGTATCTCGTCGAAACCCTTCTAGTAGGCGTCCTTCTTCGTCTCGGTATTCTCTCGTATATTCTTCCCATCAATCTAGGGCTTCTGTATTCTCTAGGATTTCTACTAGTTCGAGGGTCGTCTGTTGGTATCCTTTCTACTTAACGTCGAAGTACAGTTTCTATCTACGTCTACGGCGTTGTAGTTGCTCTTCTAAGATCTCTTCTACTACCTACTCGTCCTTACTATCTGTAAGGGGCTACGCCTAAGTACTACAAGAGGCTACGCCGAGGAACTTCCCGCTTATCTATCTTTGTATTAGTGTACAGAGGATAAATACCGTACGAGGAGGACGCTACTCTTCTTTTCCTTATCCTTCTTCTTCTGTACATAGGAGCAAATGCATACTCGTTAGCAGGCCTCTTTCCGCCTATAACAGCAACACCGCACCTAACCGTGCGACATCTTACTACAAAGGCGCAAACTACTAGACCTTCTACGGCCTAGTACGCCTTCGCTTCGCTTCTCTCTCTAGGCTATATAAGTACGCGTACGCTCTGCCTCTTCTAGGCTCTGCGTCTGCTATTTTCTCTACTCTAAATACAAGCTTCTACTTAACTAGTTCGCTCTTCTGCGCGTAAAGTCTGCCTTACAGATAGTGTAGGTAGAGGTATATTGCCTTGTTGTAAGAGGCTGAAGCCTTGGTTAGTAGTACTTGGCCTGTGGCCTTCGTTATAGCTAGTTAGGATAGGCTGCAACCCTCGGAGCGTTGTCGGGGCTTCATCGGCGCTCCACGGACCCTTAGAAGTTTCTTGAACCTAGCACTACGTGATACATAGACCTAGCACAAGCGTAGTGTAGCTTCTCTATCGAATTTATTACTGTTATACCTTGCACTTATAGTCAACCTATCGCACCCTTACAATTGAATTCGATCCTTCTGTAGCATCCGCTACGTCGAACTAGCCTCTTTGGAGTAACCTCTATAGCAGTAACGACCGAAGCCCCCTAGAGCTACATCTAGACAGACGCCTTTTAGAGCGATATATTGAAGATACTGAGTGATCAAAGAACCGATCTCAGTTAAGCCGTTTCGAACCTACTAAGGGTTAACGAAGAGCACTTACAACTAGCTGCAGTGCTACACAGCTTAGTACACGTACAAGCACCTAGAAATATAGAACGGTCTACCGAGGATCGTTGGATAAGCCTGCTATCGTCGCGGACATTAGGCAGCACTAGAAACTAAGAAAGGTCTACCGAAGACCGTTAGATAAGTCCACTACTCAAGGCGTAGCCTAAGAAATCGACCTACCTACACTAGCACAATAGCAGCAGCGGATGCCTCTGCAGTAGGGCTGGCAGTACAGATAACGCAACTGTACTACGACGGTGTAAGCAATAAGGAGATACGAGGATCTCTCTAGAACCTATGTAGGGCCTAAGGGATAGATAAGCCTGCAGTCTAGGAAAGAGTACAGGAAGCTTTCTATATCTAGAGTACGATAAGAACTGCGCTGCAGAGGGCTGGTTTAAGCAATGTCTCTACTCCCTAGAGTAATAAGGATTTAGCGCCTATAGAGACAGGAGACCTACATCTTCTAGCTACTACAGCTACAACTACAACTATAAACCTAAACGAACAGCCGCTGGCATAGCTAGCTACCCTTCTAGCTACGATACAACCCGCAAACACTATTAATACTGCCGCAAAGCGCCGCTAACAGCCTGACCCAGACATGTTTAATAGTACAAGGAAGCAATACTAGGTCTTCTACTAGCAGCTAACAGCTAAGGTAAAAAATAACAAGAATAATTTTGAGAACGATAAGATAGCATGTAATTACGCCTTTGCGAGACTTAAGGGAACAGCTGCTACTCTAACCCTACTATACATAAGCTAGATGAGAATATCTAGCAAATGGGATTTTAACTAACTTCTTAAGTTCTTTAACTAGATGTTTAGAGATCTACATAAGGAGGAGAGAGCTTGTAATAAGCTTTAGTCTATGTCGCAAGGGAACAAGAACATCCGTAGCTACGTGATGGACTTCTAGGAGCAGTTACTGCTTTCTAACAGCAGCTTGGACGAGAATACAAAGATAATAATCTTTAGAAAAGGCCTCGCTTACAAGCTCTAGGACAAGCTTGTAGGCCTAAAGAGCAAGAATCTAGAGGAGCTACAGAGTAGGGCAATCGAGATCGCTGACTAGCTGTATCAGATAGACTTGCATACTAAGGGAACTAAGAACTGCTGTTAGGAAGACAGATCCCTAAACAAAGAACACGGGAATAAGCACCGTTCTCCTTCCCTAATACTAGAGGATAGAATAGAAGGTATAGAATACACAGGGAGATCCGGGAGGCCCCGCCGACTCAGCAGCTCTAAGTATAACCAATTACGCCGTAAAGGACGCTGCTTTAACTGTAAACGTAGAGGACATGTGTCTGCTACTTGTGCAGAGGATAAAGGTTTATCTAAGAAGAAGGGAAAGAACAAAAAGACAGCTGTGCTAAAGGCCTCTAGCTCTAAGACTATAGAGTAAAGGAAGAGCAGGAAAGCCTAGAAGGAGGAACTAAGTAGTGACGAGGAATTAAGTAGTGCAGATACCCTAGAAGAAGACAGCGACTCGGGAAAAGACTAGCTCTTGCCCAAAGTCACCGGCAAGAGCTGCATGTAAGTTAGTACAATTTAGTAAAAGAGTAGGCGTCCTTTAAGAAGGACATGAGCGGTAATAGGATTACTGTCGAGACACTAGTTAACTAGCATACCTTTGCTTTAACCTTAATTAACACTAGAAATCTCTTATACTCTCTTATAAGCCCCTGCCTTGTTAAACGTGCTAGTTTATAGTGCCTACCTATCTCCCCCTGCGTGTTAGAAGGAGTTACTAAAGAGCCTAGGACTATTAGAAGAGTCGCTAGGCTTACTATCAACATTTAAGGCTACAAGGACACTATATAGGGATACGTTGCGCCTTTACACCTAGGGTATAATCTTATACTTAGACGCCTGTGGATGAACAAGAGACAAGTTACTATTGCTCTATCGAAGAAGTCTATCTATATCCATTCATTACACTAGAGGATCCGCCTTATTAGCACAGAGGACTGCCCTATCCTAAAGGACCTACGGCTAAAGCGCATTAGTGCAACAGCTTATTACACGTATATCCGGCGCTCGAAGAACGACAAGACAGTACAGATATTCGCAGCCTCTCTTTAAGACATTAAGAAAGCGTTAGCCCTAAAGAAGAAAGTTAATGTTATATCCCTTCTTCCTAAAGCACACTAGCACATAGCCTAGATCTTTAACCCTAAAACAGCTGCAAAGATACCTCCTCTGCGCGGACTAGAGATTAATCATTAGATTAAACTAGAGAAGGATAAGAATGGCAAGGAGAAGGAGCTACTCTAGGGCCCCTTATACAACATGAGCAGAGGAGAGCTCCTAGTCTTACGCAAGGAATTAATATCTCTCCTTGACAAGGGATAGATTAGAGCAAGCAGCTCCCTAGCTGCCTCTCTAGTGTTATTTGCAAAGAAGCTAAGAGGAGGGCTACGCTTCTGCGTAGACTATAGAGCTCTTAACGCAATTACTAAGAAGGACCGATACCTGTTACCCCTAATCTAGGAGACCTTTAACAACATCGCTAAAGCAAAATAGTTTACAAAGATTAATGTATTAGCTGCTTTTTACAGGATAAGGATTAACGCGGGAGACGAATAGAAGACAGCCTTCCGCACCTGATTTGGATTGTACGAGTAGCTAGTCACCCCTTTTAGTATGGCAAACGCACCTAGCACCTTTTAGCGGTATATTAACTAGACGCTTCGTAAGTACATTAACGACTTCTGCTTAGCCTACCTAGATAATGTCTTGATCTACACTAACAGTACCCTAAAGGAGCACTAGCAAAATACAAACAAGGTCCTTAAGGCTATAGGCAAAGCTAGTTTACCTTTAGATATTAAGAAATGCGAGTTCGACGTTAAATGTACAAAGTACCTTAGGTTTGTAATTAAAGCTAGCAAAGGACTAAAAATAGATCCTAACAAGGTTAAGGCTATTAAGGAATAGGAACCCCTAGTGAACGTAAAGGGAGTGCGTAGCTTTCTAGGATTTGCGAACTTCTACTAACGTTTTATTAAGAACTACTTAGAGATAGCAGCTCTACTTACAAGGTTAACTAGAGATGTTACCTTCTGATAGAGAGAAGCAGAGCAACAGGCGTTTAACAAGCTAAAAGAGATCTTTATTACCAAACTAGTACTCGCTTAATAGGACCTAAATCAAGAGACTATCTTAGAGACCAACTCGTCTGGTTACGTAGTTGCTAGAGTACTATCTTAGTACGATAACCAAGGGCTGCTACGACTAGTCGCCTACTACTCAAAAAAGATAACTAGCGCTTAGAGCAATTACGAAATCCACGATAAAGAATTGCTTGCAGTAATCTGCTGCATAGCTAAATAGGACGGAATGCTAAGGTCTTTAAAGAAGTTCACGGTAATTACTGACTACAAGAACTTAGAGTACTTTAGGAAGCCTTAGCAGCTCAGCGAACGCTAAATAAGATAGGCCTAGTTTCTCGGAAAGTTCCCAAACATAGAGATCGCCTACCGGCCTAGAGCTGACAATGTTAGAGCTAATGCTCTTTTAAGAAGACATTAGGATATGCCAGCTAATAGTTTAGATGCACAGATCTCTCGACGTTTCCTACAGGTCTTTAAACCCGCTACTGCTACGATAGACAAAGACCTAGCTAACAACGAAGCACTAAAGATCTTTTGGTGTAGTGTTGAGAGACTAACAGTTTTCTCCTACCTAGTGTCTGCACTCTTAACCCTACTAGCTTAACACAGGTTAGAGCAACTATAGGAGGAAGCTAGGGAAAAAGATTAGGTGTACTAAGCGGCCTAGAAAGCGGTTAGGGACGGTGAACGCAAGTTTCTAACAGCTTTAGACCTCAAGCTATTAATCTTAGAGTGTCGCTTAGACGACTCTAGTAACCTATTATATCAAGATCAAAAATAGGTACTAGACAGTGAACCTCTAAGGACTAGCATTATACACAAAATGCACTCTTTAAGGGCCTTAGGACACCTAGGAAGAAACCTTACATACTAAGCTGTTGCACAGGAGTATTTCTAGCCTTTATTAAGCAACTTAGTTCGCTAGTATGTACGGAACTGTTCTGTTTGCGGACGAGTGAAGCCTTAGAGAGATGGCCTCTAAGGGCTACTACGGCCTTTACTAATTCCTGAACGCATCTAGAAGGAAGTCTCTATAGACTTTATAACTAGCTTGCCTGAAAGTGAGGGCTGTACTAACCTAATAGTGGTAACAGACTGCCTTAGTAAGGACGTAGTACTTATGGGCTTAGCAGACATTACGACAGAGAGTGTAGCTAAGGCGTACATAAATCACGTCGTTGCATACCACTAGCTACCAGACTACATTACTTTAGACTAAGGCTTACAGTTTATAAGCTACATGTAGGCTAGGCTTTGTGAACTAATGAGTATTGAGCGAAGACTATCGTTAGGATACTACCTAGAGACCGATGGATCTACGGAGAGAATGAACGCGACAGTACAAGCCTACCTCCGCGCTTTCTGCGACTAGAATTAGAACAATTAGAAATCCAACCTAGGAATAGCTAAAATCGCAATTACAGCAAGGGAAGCGCGGTCTACAAGGATGTCACCATTCTTTATGCAGCACAGATACGAAGTAGACCCTGTTTAGATTGCTATTAAGTACGGCCTAGAAAACAAGCCTAAGGGAAAGAGAGTGCAAGACGAGCATGAAAAGGCTAAGAACATCGTAGAAAGATTAAGGCAGAGCATTTAGCTAGCTCAAGCGATTATGGGAGAGGCACAACAGGACCAAGAACTGCAGGCTAACAAGAGACGGAAACAAGCTCCCTAATTGCGAGTTGGTGACAAAGTATAGTTAAAGCTAGGCGATCACTTTAAGACTAAGAGGCCAAGCAGAAAACTTGACTAGAAGAACTTAAAGTATACGGTACTTAAGATTGTAGGACTAAGCGCAGTCAAGCTAAACACTCCTAGACGAGTTTATCTAGTATTCAACGTCAACATGCTAAGGCTCGCTTTATCAGACCCGTTACCTAGTCAGCCACAAGATAATAACGAGCTAGAGCCTATTGAGGTGGATGGAGAAGAGATGTATCTGGTAGAGGAGATCCTGGAGGAGAGAGGCTAGGGGCACAGAAAGCAGTACCTAGTAAAATGGGAAGGCTATCCTGATCTAACTTGGGAACTAGCCGTAAATCTAAAAGAGACTAATGCTGTAAGGCAGACTTCACGCGCAGAAGAGCGAACTGGTTAAGTAGAAGCTTGTATTCGGAGTAGAGAAAATAGCAGACGCAGAGCCTAGAAGAGGCAGAGCGTACGCGTACTTATATAGCCTAGAGAGAGAAGCGAAGCGAAGGCGTACTAGATCGTAGAAGGTCTAGTAGTTTAGGCCTTCGAAGGTCTAGTAGTTTGCGCCTTCGTAGTAAGACGTAGCCTTTTACTCTTTAGCTCTAAACCTCGTAGTAAGTAGTAGCTGAGGAGAGGCTATGTCCTTACAAATGCTCTCAAAGATTAGAAACACGCTGCACAGGAGGGATCTAAGCCTAAGAAGGGGGGTACTGTAAGAGGCTGAAGCCTTGGTTAGTAGTACTTGGCCTGTGGCCTTCGTTATAGCTAGTTGGGATAGGCTGCAACCCTCGGAGCGTTGTCGGGGCTTCATCGGCGCTCCACGGACCCTTAGAAGTTTCTCGAACCTAGCACTACGTGATACATAGACCCAGCACAAGCGTAGTGTAGCTTCTCTATCGAATTCATTACTGTTATACCTTGCACTTATGGTCAACCCATCGCACCCTTACACTTGTAAGACTAGAGACGAACCGCTGTTAAGCCACAACAACGGTAAGGTAGGCTAATATACTGCGATTGCTTAGCATAACGGCCTGAACGGGCCCGGATTGGCCTAGGGCCTAACAATTACTAAAATAGACAAGTAGGAAGTTCCTCGGCGTAGCCTCTTGCAGTACTTAGGCGTAGCCCCTTACATCACCAACCTTACCCTAACCTCTAACACGAAACCCTAACGCAATTAACTACGCATGTGTTACGATGTTCTAATACTACAGGTTCTAGCTACAGGCAGGCAAGCCACTAGGGACCCTTCGGGCCACCGTCGGCCCTCACCAGCCACGATCACGTAACGTAGGTATATATCATCCCTCTAGGAGTCTTGATAGCTCCTTAAGGATTCATCTCAATACAAGCCTATACCAATATCTTAGTGCCTGCCCAAATACTCCTTACAGCATGCTACTAGGCTATAAGTTGATTAGAGTATACAACTTAATGTGCTAATTAACATACTCAAATCCTAGACGAATTAAGTTACAGGAACCTAACTGGACTAGCCACTTAAAGTTTACTAGAGTCAGCACTATGTAATAAGATCTACGCACGCAAAATGAACATTAAAGCACGCCCAAAACTAGAGGGAGCCCTAACTGCAGTTGCAGCCCTAGAATAGGGTACGATCATCGCTAAACCAGACCGCTCTACCTATAGTTTCCCTACTATAACAACAAGTGTCTAAGGAAGACCTTGTCTTTCGCTTGTTTTCTCGTTCAGGCCCCATGCTTGGCTACTATTATCGTGTACCGTCACTCTTCTCATGTCTCTGCGATACTTGTATGCGTACTCGCCTCCTATTGCTCGGTGCATAGTGCAAGTATTGTCCCACATAACCAGGTCGCCAACGTTGTGCCATTCTACAACAACTCTGTACTCCTCTTTCGTAGCATGTTTGAATAACATGTCGAATAAATCCTGGCTCTTCTCCTGCTCCAAACCCTCGATGTGGTGGATATGCATAGCCAGATACAAGTTCGTACGTCCAGATGCCTCATGACGCTGCACAAGTTTATGACGACCCATAGGATGATTAGCAGGTTCGATACCCGCAAAATGCTCGGGCGCAGCCAGCTTCTTCGAGTGCAGAATCGAATGGCAAGCGACATAATCTTTAGCCAACAACTCACTCTTTACATCACGAGGAAGGTCATCCCATGCCGCCCTTGTATCGCAGAATTCTGTCGCACCACCTGTGCCAGGGGGAGGCAGCTTATGAGCCAGTAGCAGGGAGTAGCCTGCTCGGCGCGGATTAAAGCTACTGTCAACGTGGAAGTAGCTGTTGCCTTTGTTTGCCTGGGCGCGTGGGCTGGTCGGAGAGACAAGGGTATTGTCCGCTTCGATGTTGCCGACATCGAAGAGTTCGTCGTAAGCAAGGCGATTCTTACGGCCGGCCTTGTTGTAGGGCTTCACATCGTCTAGTTCGCCGAATTTGCGGCCCAAAGCGATGTGGGTTGAGTCGGTCAGATTTGTCTGGCGGACGACGACCACACCGTACTGCACAGATAGTGAGTAAGAAGTCATGAATGTATCTCCGGGACGCTTACCTTCGTCAAAACGTCCTGGAGAAGGTGGAAAGTCTCATTGGAGGCACCATCTGTGAGGTCAAGCCCTCGAATCTCAACACCGAAGCCATTCTTAAGCTCTCGAATCTGAGGGGTCGGAGCAGAAATGGTCGTTTCGGTAGTCTTGGTTGACATGCTGGTTGCTGATCAGCTTGGTGTGCTGTCCGGTGTTAAGTGATCCTCTGTTCCAATTTTCAGGTCTTGCAGACCTTATATATGCGAACCTCTAGGTTCATCGGTACCAGTTGCTTAACTCCGACCATTGCCGATCGACTGCACCCACCGCATGTTTGATCCATAGCCGAAGATAGACCCGCTCACTATGTGGTGGTGTTCGCTTATGCACACAGTTCTCATATCGCAGGCGAGGTCCCATGGAATTGTTCATATAACCTTGATCGATCTCCAAAGCCAAGGGTTGTCTATAGTCGAACCAACGGTACTTTTGTGAGATGGGCATCAGCGCAACCTAATGTCTCCGTGCTTGTTGCAAGCATTCCCCTGATTTAACTAGCTGTCTTCAAACTATTGTGTCCTGGTAGTGTTTACAACTGATTCAAAGATATCAGAGCAGTGTTCAAAGGCTCGGCAACGGCGCACGTGCGGCGGTAACGGCGACAGAATCGCACTAGCTCCATGATGATGTAACCGACCATAGCCGAATGATGACGCAGCCAATCTCGTACCTTCATCCTTATTATCACTTTTGTCATCACGCTATCCATTACTAACAAGCAACAGATAACGGACAAGAATAAATGGACCATGATGACCACATCAACCGGCAAGCGATCCTTCCGTGCATGTCTGCGGTGCCGTCGCCGCAAGACAAAGTGCGACCTTGACGGCTCAGGTGACCGAAAGCAACCACCCTGCAGATCATGTCACCTCTCTGGCAATGATTGTGTCCTCGTGCAGTCGAGACGAGGCCAAAGACGGAATAAAGCTACGCCGAATGTTCGGGACAACGCACCAGACATCTCAGAACTGCTCGTGCACGAGAATGAGAGCGCTGCCACGAGTGTCGGACCATATTCGACACTTCTGAACGCTGACCTATCTACAATGTGTGCACAAAGCTTGCCAGGACCCTTTGGGTCAGGCAGAGAGACAGAAGTTGAATTGAGGAACCCATCTGACGCGCTCGAGATACTGGCACGTTCAGACGAGCGTTCACTGTTGGCTTCGACCCGTTCCTTAGCCGATGATACCGCTTCATTGGCGCCCAGCATCCAAGCGACTGGAAACAGATCGACTACGCTCGATGAGTTCGAATTGCTAACAATGGGGGCACTGCAAATGAGTGTAATCCTTGAGCTATTGCAGACGTCAGTAACTCTCAAGAATCTAGCCTATCATTTAAATCGACTGATGTTAAATTAGATATACGAAGATTTATCATCCTCACTGTCCCATAGTCCCATCATGGTTCCTCTCACCAACTGCTATAGAAAGGATTGGGAGGTCCGAGCACTTTCTCCTCACAGTGCTGCTGACTGTCGCGTCGCGAGATTCGACGCAGCATGTGCTCGTGCACCGATACTGTTGGGACCATGCTCAAAGACTGCTACTAGATGTAATTTTAGCCCGTTCCTCAACTCAAACACCCCGCACAGTCGAGGGCCTCTTACTCCTAGCGGAGTGGCTACCTCACACTGAATCCAAGCACAAGACTGAAGAAGCACTCGGAAGTCTTTTTACCGAAGACAGGCGTGCGTGGTCACTGGTAGGCCTTGCCATACGGCAGGGTTATATGCTTCGCTTAGACCGAGGAGCTTTCCGGAGATCTAGTAATAGTGCTACACAAGAGCAGAGCGAGCAGGAGCGGCTGGTTTGGCATTGTGAGTCACGCCATTTTCATACCCAGAAAGCTGCTGATAAGATCCCAGTTGTGTGTCTCGCTGACCGTCATATATCAGTCCGTGTGGGGCAGTCTTTCTGGTCTCGTGGGCCATCTCTATCTTCTCATTTTACTGCGGATGATTTTCCCAGTCTGAAGCCTAGATCTGGAAATCTACAAGATCACTCCACGATTCTGCAAGCCAACCTAGAGCTTGTACAGATTTTGTATAATGCTCATCTAATTTTGTACGGTTCCGCAGAACGGACTCAGGCTCTTATCAAGGACGGCGACTACGCTCGATATCTAGATGACTTTCTGAGCGCTGCAACGATGTGGCAAACTACATGGCGGCGACTGGACAATCCTTCAGTGGTACCGAACTCAGTCTTTATGACTTACGAGTACGTCTGTCTATATGTGAACGCATTTTCTTTCCAGGCAATTGTCGCGCGCTCAGTCAAGAATCCAAAGCCGCAACCCACGACACAGGGTATCGATGGAGCACCCTTGGAAGAACTTTTCCGTAGAAGCACCATTTCCTTACCTGATGGGCTTTACATCAACGGCGCGATCCGCGCAGCAACGAAGTTGCTCGAAAGGTTGACAAGTTTGGACCCGCACGGCGAATTCCGATACCTTCCATCGCGCTTCTTCCTGTAAGTCATCCAAGCTTGTTATATCGCCATACCTCCACTAAGCGAGACTGATAGATATGGAGTGTACGCAGCTGTATTTCTGCACAAAGTAGTAAACTTCAAAGTGATCAACGTTGAGACACAGCTAAACGCAATCAACGGCCTCATTTCAGGACTGATCTTAATTATGAAAGAGGCACCGGCAACTGAGACTCATGTCTGCCATACCTATAGTGGGATGTTGGATAGGCTTTGGCGCTGCCGCAACTCAATACAAAAATCGTCTCGGAGGCCGTTTACGGATACGGAAGTCGCTCTCGATGGTATCTCACATGGTCCGTTTGTGGATCAACCTTCCCCTACTCAGCGTCTGCATAATGGCGCACTTGAACATCAAACAACAGGGGGCGCCTTACCAGATGTTCGGGTTGCTCCATCAAACATCTCGCCGACTACTTGGCAAGACCCCTGGACAAGCCACAATATTCCTACATTACCGTCATTGGACGAGTTCACGATGGATCCTTTCTGGCCAGGAATTGCCGACTTCTCGCAGCTAATGGATCCATCGATCGGCGCTTGGCCTATTTGAAGAGACACTGGAAGCAGTGATCGGAATGGTCTGGTCTGACTTGGTCTTGGTCTGGTCTGGCGATTTTTTGAGACCATGGTCGGACCGGTCTAGATGATCGGACCGGTCCTATCCGAGAGGATGACCTTGGGGCATAGTGCCCCAAGCGAATTTGTATGGGAGCGATAAGCTGCGATAAGCGCTGGACGGTGGGTCTAAGAAATTTAAGACGGTAGGCCCAAGGTACTTAGGGTTAGCTATCTAGACTTGTATAGAATATCTAAAGAGGCCAATTTGGGCAGAAGTATTGCGCGATTTCAACACCGTTATCAGCTTGCTAATAGCTGCTCTAGGCGGGAAGATATCGGGGTGCAAAGGTTGGGGGGAGTTTTGGTGTTCCTCACGTGAGCGCAGGGCTGTTAGTAGAACAGGGGCCCTAGAGATGGGCGACCTTTTTAAATTTCAGGCGGCTTTCTTGAATAAGCTAGCTGACCGGGATGTTGATCACCCGGGGATGTTGATCACTCACAAATCTCAGCACTCCCACACAAAACACGTGTTTATTTTCTCAACGTAGCTACAATTGCTACTCTGTACACATAGACTGAAGCGTTTGAGCTGCTGTTTTAGCTGCTATATTTTCTGCAGCCTTTTCCTTAGCATTAACATCGCGCTGTGCCTTAAGAAGCTGTGACGCCTGTACGGCAACTATAATTGTCTCTACATTTGCAAAGCGTTGATTTAGGTTAACACGAACCTTCTTTCGTGGCTGTTAAGGCTTAAGAGCCTTAAGTTGACTATAGAGTCTTTTATTCTCTGTTTTAAGCTGTGCTGCGCGTATATTTGCTGTACTAAGTGCCTTGCCTGCTTTTTCAAGGAGCTGATGAGTCTTACGCCTAACACTCTCGTTCCTGTAAAGCTCTCTTCGAGCTATAAAAAGATCACGAGGACTGTGAGGGGTAGAGAAGTAGCTCTTAGTAGGTTGAGGCTGATTCTAACGTGGCGGCGTAACAGGCCTCTAGGTTACCTAAGATGAGTTGACTACCTAGTCAACATTAAATGGCCAGATACCCGCAGTAGCCCATCCTGCTCGTATAACTCTCTTAGTAATTGCTTGCCCTTGTGCGTAATAATAAGCTGTAATAAAACGCTCTTTTTTAACACGTGCTGCGTCGTTAAGGTGCGAGAGAGCCTAGATTTGTTGCCGATAGAATCTCTTTACGAGTAAAAATACTAAGAGGTCTAGAGGCTGTAGGATATAAGAAGAATAAGGAGGTAGAAACAGAAGATAGACTTTGTTCTGTTTGCAAGCCTATAGGAAATCTAGGCTAATGTAGCTGCTGTAGCTATCTAGGATTAGCATCCTCTAGCTACCGTCTAATAGAGCTGTCTTAGGCAGATATACACGCTGCAACCACTTAACTCCTATCTCATTCGATGTCCAGCTATTCTCTAAGGTTGTAAATAGCTATTTAGGAATTATCGTAGGAAACTAAGAGCTCTGTAGGTGCTTTCCTTTAAATATAACTGAACAGAGTAGTTTCTTGCCCGTAGCCGACACGCACTTAATTATTAATGCCTACTCGCGGTTCTCTAGGGACTGATAGTAAGCCTTCTTCTTCTGACTAGATGCGAGCACTCTAGTGTTAGCACATACACCTAAGGCCTTCCTAGTCTCATCTATATTCTATATATCCTCAGCCCTTATGCCTAGCCTCGTACGAGTCCTCTTAAAGAGCTCTAGGAACGCGCGTATCTGTGCTAGGTTTGCTCCCTTAGCTCGAGCTGCCTTAATCTTTGACCTACAATAGATGCGACGCGTAGGTTACGCTTGAGGAAGGCAGCTATCTAATGCTTGCCTACGGGTCTGTAGTCTCCATTTATCTAGAGGATTTGGTTCGCTATTTCTCGTGCGCGTGCATAGGAGGGAGGAAAAGCTCGTGCGTCTTCTTTGAGTATCTATTGTACGAGAAAGTCCTCCTGCTCTAGAGTTAACTGCTGCTAGTATACGTAGCTAGCTTAGTTGCTTTGTCTGCTGCGTATGCGCGTTGAGATTGTGGATTGCGGGATGTTGTACGCCTTTGCAGCTGCCCTCTGACTTAGGAAAACACTAGCATTAATATCGCTGATAGCTGCTCGTATAGCTACTTCACGGTCGCCTATTTTAGTTAAGTATGTAGAGAGATAACACGTGTTTCGTGTAGGAGTGCTGAGATTTGTGAGTGATTAACATCCCCGGGTGATTAGTGTCAGATAGCATGTGTTGCTGTCTGATGGAAGGCCATCCAGCAGGCAATTTAGCATCGGTGTCGATTGCAGCCATGTTGGCCGACCCGCCTCGATCCTACTTCGGCCTTATTTGTACGAGAGCATATACATCGTGATAGCACCACCTTCAGGCAGGGGGGAGAAAAAAAGAATCAACATCTATTAATTCTATGCATTATCTCATCTAATCTGACAATTAGCATCCCGGTCAGCTAGCTTATTTAGGCGCCTTTTTTGAATTTTAGGGAGCCTATCATTAATGGGCGATAGGATCGTTAGCAATAGCTAACAATCCTCTGAGAAACCCTAAGATACATGCTTAATTCGGGTTAACCCTTATCCCATTTGTGGGCTAATTAGCGAAGAGCTTGGTCCTATACTGCCTGCCTTAGCTCTAGGAAGCCCTGTGTGATAGAGGGGCCGTAACGGAACACGCAACAGATAGTAGGCCCGAGTACGCGTAGGAAGGACCGCGTCTTAGTCGTGTCTAGTATTGTAATGCACTAACCTCTTCTTAGACCTAACTTATGTTTTATGCAGGTATCGTCTTATGCTGTACTTGCATTTCCTGTTCCTTACCTTGCAATAGAAGTCTCTTAACTCGAATTAGAACTATTCTTACGCTTACAACTAAGCCGGCCGTGATAGGGCTGTTATCGTAAATTACCTTTGCGAATTCTACAGCGTTTTACACGGATGCGAATACAAGCCTAACGTTGTCGAGACCTGCTACTCTTCTCTTACCTGCGATTTACTAAATAGGAATATATTCGTACACTAAAGCGAGCAGGATGTCACGGGGTCGGCAGGCAGGGAAGGTAGGTGCACGTGATCAGTATATTCACTACGATATCGCTGATAGTACGGGGTCAGGCTAAGACAAGGACGTAGCTCAAGGAGCGTACGACAGGGCGCGTTCGCGCAGGAATTTCAGCGATCGCGCAGCTGCTCGCTTAGCAGCTTGGCGCGCTCTAATAGGCTATCTAGGTCAGCGCCGTGACACTAATGCCTAGGCAGGCCAAATACTCTTCTCCAAATCATAATAAGTTTGTCGATAACCTACAAATAGTCTATTCTATCGAAATGGGCTGGTTTATCCTTAATAAGTATTATATGCTTATTAATAAGACTCTAGTTGTCGCTGCTGCTCTCCTTCTCGATCCCTTAAAGCGGAAGTCCTATATTAAGCAAAACTAGCCTTTAGAATGGCATGAAAGGACTGTATATACTTCTTAGGCATTATAGGCTAGTAAATACAAGCTTCTTCCACTATCCTTAACATTAGATAACGTAGATACAGCTGTATTCCCGCCAAATGGCCCTAAACCACCTAAAAACGCGTTTGATCGAATAAAGCAGAAATTGAAGGTTGCGACCGCGAAGCGCGATGACGATGATCTTTTATCGTTTATTGAAGGCTGTCCTATTGATATAGAACCATTAACGCCTCTACAATGGTGGTCAGAACCAGCTCAACGTCAACGATATCCTCGTCGATATCCTCTCTATTCCTCCCTTATCTGCAGAGCCAGAAGTCACGTTCTCGGGCGCCCGTCGTACCCAGTCATTTGATAGGCTACGGCTATCCGCAAAGAACCTTAAGCGATTAGAATGTACGGGCAACTAGCTAAGGAATAAGCTTGTCAGTATTCAGGACATTCTCACAGTGCCTACAGCGATAAACGACGAGATGGAGACGGACACGGATACAGAGGAGGATGAGGATAAGTATAAGGATGAATCGGGTTTGGAGGACACAGATGGGAGATAAAGAACATCGACGAGGGATACGGATTAGAGACACAGATAAGACCCTTTATGTATTAAGGATGTCGCGTTTTCAATAGTAAAGCGATCACAATGTTATTCTCTCCCCCTCCCCCTCACTAGAACTAGTGCGATTACTAATCGGATAGAGCGTTCTACACACTCTACAGGGTAGAATAGAATCAGTGTCTATTCTACTCTACTCTATAATGCCCATGTATGCTTAGCCTTACGCTTATTGCACACTATTTTTTGGCAGTGTACTCACTAAACGACAACCGTCCTCACATACATTTGCGCAACGCCAGCAAGCTTGCCTTTTTGAAGGAAAACCTTTTCCAAGCTCTGTAGAGCCTCAGCCTTACTCGTACTACAGCATGTATGCAATGCACCTATTCCTAGCAACGTTACCCGTCACAGCTCGAGCCCATATGTCGCTGTAGTATCCGCCCCCTCTAGGTGGCAGTCTGGAAGCGAACCCTCTAACGACACAGGTAGACAGTAAGCTCAACTTCCCCATTAGATGCTGTAATTCTCACGGCGAGCCAACACTGCCTTCGCCAGGCGATTGTCGTAGTTATCTTGATCTTCTAGATACAGAAGAAGGCAGACCGCAAGTAACGTAGGAACCAGGCCAGGACGCATACTTCCAACTGTCTGATTACACGTATACCATCAGTGTTCCAGCATCAACTCATTATGGCGGAAGCTATCAGGTTAACTTACCCTTATTCACGCCCCCCCACCCTCTCTTCCATATTCCCCACACGCAAGCTCTCGAAACGGAAGGGAAACACTAAATAATACCTGATCAAAATCGTTTTCCAGTTTGTGCACATCCTTTAGTTTCAATGTACGGTCACATTTCAGAATGTTTACCGCATATGTACTCGCGCCACGCAGAGTGTCTATCCTATTCGATTATGACTTACGGACGAGCGCTACCATCAAAAGCAGTGTAAGGTTTTTCTGCAATTGAACGAATTATTATCAGCAAGGCAGCCATGAGCACGACACGTCAGCTCATTTTTAAGCCTGTGAAAGAGCCGACATTGCTGTAAGTGCTATCCTTAACGTCAAGAGTTAACAGGCATAAAGCGCCAATTCTACGCAACTCCGCAATCCCTACGCCAACACCCCGCACTATATGCCGCATTTGTGATGTTTATCAATTACTGACAGCTTCGATCATAGCAAACAGATCATTAACTTACAGCGTCTTGACCGCGCCGAGCCTATTAGCTCCTTACAGTGCTGAACGAAATTGGTTTCCGGTTCTTGCATATTGTCTGTTCTCAGCGCAAGGCTACAGTTTAGGACGCTTACTAGGAATGTGCTAACGTACAGATGAAGATTGTAATATATAGAACGTGATCTACCTAAAGATCTAGTACAGTATCCTGCCAACCGCCCTCACTGCACCGCACTGTTCTGCCTGCTACGGCCCGGCTGATGCGTCAGATCGAGCATGGCGCTCTCGCGCTTGAGTGTCGTCTCCTTGTCCTTGGGCCGGTACGGATACCCGGCCTTCTCGCGCGCGATGTCGTTGATCCAGCGACTGTTCGGCTCGATCTTCTTCGCGCCGTTGGCCAGCTCGTCGGCCAGGTACAGCTAGCTGAGCGCGTTGCCAACGGTGCTGACCTCGTCGCTGACGTGGTTAGCTGCGTAGTTGGCCATGGTGATGTACGATGCGTTGTCGGTGAAGAGGTGGTCGAGGTAGTTGGCCACCGCGTCGTGCTCGCCTACGTCCACGAGAAAGCCTGATCTGCCGTGCTCGATCTGAAGTGGGATGCCGCCGCGGCGCGTCGCGATGACGGGGACACCGTGGTGCAGGGCCTCGGAGACTTTGACTTCGAAGCCTTCGCGCGTCGAGAGCTGGAGCGCGACGTGGGCGTTGGCCATGAGCACGTTGAGGAGCTGGTCCACGGGGCCAATGCGCATGACGATTACGTCGTGTTTGATGTCGGCGTAGAGTTCATTGAGCTCCTTTTCTGTCTTATCGAAGATGACGGTTGCATCGGGGTCGTTGATGGCGCCGTGGCCGGCAATGACAAGTTGTGGGACCTCCTCGATGGGCTTGTCTTTCATATATTCTCGCCGAAGGATAGCGTACGAAGCAAGAACGTCCGCGATACCCTTGGCTGGATAGAAACAAGCGATCTGTATAATATATGGGCGTGCTGGGAATGCCAGGCGATTAGCACCCTTGTCGTGGCAGGCTATCTCAAACTCGTGCATGTAGTATTGTGCGTCCCAACTGTCCAGCTGCTTGTTCAGACCATCGAGCCAGTCTGTCGTGGCAGGAAGATAACCGACCTTCTCTGCCGTTACATTCTTAGGCACGAATTCGCGAACGGGGTGACTGATGAAAGCATCGCACTGCTTTACGTTGTTCCATACCCAGTTCCAAACTTCAGCGGTGGGCGTACCTTCCTGGTCTGCCAGGTCGGCGCGTACTTGGATGTGACTTCTGAAGAGGACAGGCAGACTTGCCTATTGTGATATCACTCTAGCACTTTAGCACAATTAGGCTGTCCCGCACTAGCTAGAGCCTGGCTGGTGGCTCAGCTGGTCCAATCAGTAGCCCCGGCTAAACTGCTTAGTAAACTAGCTTCAGCTGCTCGAGCTGGGAGCAGATTATCCTAGCCAATCAGCGAAGGGTACTATTGCGCTGATCTCGGCTGATATCACTTTTGCTATCCTGATATCACGATAGGCAAGTCTGAGGACAGGACGAGAAGGGTCTAGCTCTTTGGCAATCTTGACAAGAGAGGGCATCTGGGGATCGTCTACGATGATGACATCAGCACCGCCCTCCGCTCGAGGAGCGAGGGGACTGCCCTTGGCAATCCAGTAGCGTTCGGCATTCTGCCTGACCTATTCATCGAGGATGTCGATTGACTTTTGTTCGAGGCGAAGGCCGGTTTCATCCACACCCTAGAGGATGTTGTGGTTGTTCTTTGTAATACGGAAAACAGCAGGCTTAGGCTTTAGAACGTACCTGTGAAGTGTGAGCGATAATCAGATGTGCAGTGTAGAGTGACTTACCACTTGCAATTAACATCAATAAGTCGTAAAAAGCGGATCAGCGCATGCCTTATCAAGGCGACACCGCCGCCCTAAGGGGTGCTGTTGAAGAAGGCAATCTTCGTGCCGTGCTTCTTGAGCGAATCAGCGTAGACTATGGTCGCCGCGTAGGTGTTGGGATAGACACTATCTCGATAGCTTGGCTCGTCTGCAATCACAGTTGCGCCATCGCTGTCGACACTAACCTTATTGCGGTAGACGACCTCTAAGCGAGGTTGGTTAGCCCTGCCGAAGTACCTGCATGTGTTAGTGGAGGGCTATACAAGGCTATAGACATCTGAATGCTTACCCTAGAGCTTTCCTTACCACTGCATCTGCTTCTTTATCTACTATCATGTACTTGGGTGCATCTGGAGTACCGGTATTTTGACTGCCAGAACTAGGCTCCAGCACTAACGGCACAATATCCAACTTAAGCTACAAGCGGGTTGGTAACTGAGGACATGTCTTGGCGGCCTTTGTAGTTAGACCAGCGCCAACAAACTTGTAGAAATGCTTATCACGGTAGTGCTTGACTCTTCTGATGATTTCCTCGACATAGTTATCGGCACGCTCCTCAGCTGTTGCAGGGGTTGTTGTTCTAGAGTTAGCCTCAGAAGTTGCGGCTGAAGGCTCAGAGCTGCTACTTGATTCCGCACCTATGGAGACAGTTGCAAAGTCCATTAAATAGGTGCCGTCGTAGATAACAAACGCAATGTCAATTGAGCTGCCAAGTCCGTCGGCGACAGCGATACCAATGTACACGAGCTGTGAAGGTTAGTTTACTTGTTTGGAGCAATGGAACAGGAACCGACCTCGAGGCTCATCGAGCTAGACTTGTCTTGTGCGGAGAGCTTGGCCTTGACGGATGTCTTTGCCATAAAGGCATCGCGGGTCTTTTGGCGAACCATGGCTGGATGTGGAGGGAGAGATGTGTCGTCGAGAGTCCGAATGGTACTTGGCATGATCTATACGATCGGATTTAGTCTTGGTAAGCTAGCGGCCACCGAAGCTGGCCACCCACTGAAGCTGGCCACCCGCCCAGAACTCGGCCACCCATTAAAAATCAACGTAATTAATTCAACTTAGTTACAATTGCCACTCTGTACACATAGACTGAAGAGTTTGAGCTGTTGATTCAGCTGCTGCTCTCTCTGCAGCTGTTTCTACAGCTTTTTCTGCAGCGTTACTATTGTTTTGTAACTCTAAAACAGCAGACGCCTGCACTGCTACCATAATTGTTTCTATATCTGCAAAGCGTTGATTTGAATTTACATGAACTTTCTTTCGTGGCTGCTGAGGCTTAAGAGCCTCAAGTTGACTATGTAGTCTTTTGTTCTCTGCTTCTAGCTGTGCTGCGCGAGTATTTGCTACTGCAATAGCTTTGCCTGCTTTTTAAATAAGCTAGTGAGTCTTGCAGCTAACACTCTCGTTCCTGTGCAGCTCTCGCTAAGCTACAAAAAGACCACGAGGTCTACGGGGGGCAGATAGATAGCTCTCAGCAGGTTGAGCTTAATTCTAACGTAGTGGGCGTAACAGGCCTCTGAGCTACCTGTGAGGAGTTAACTACCCGCTTAATATTTAATAGACAGATGCCTGCAGTAGCCTATCCAGCTCGTACTACTCTCTTAGTAATCGCAGCCTCTCTAGCGTTATAGTAGGCTGTAATAAAGCGTTCTTTTTTAACAGGCGCTGCGTTATCTAGATGCGATAGTTCCTAGATCTGGTTTCGGTAGAATCTCTTCACTACTAAGAAAACTGAGAGATATAGTAGCTGCAATACATGAGATGAGTAAGCAGGTAGAAACAGAAGCTGAACTTTATTCTGCTTGCAGGTCTACAGGAATTCCAGATCAATGTGGCTGCCGTGGCCGTCCAGAATTAGCATCCTCCAACGATCGTCTAATAGAGCCGTCTTAGGCAGAAATATCCGTTGCAGCCATTCGAGGCCTATCGCATTTGATGTCCAGCCGTTCTCAGAGGTTGTGTAAAGCTAGTCGGGTATTATCGCAGGAAATCAAGTACTCTGTAGGTTCTTGCCCTTGAATATCACCCCGCAGCGCAGTTTCTTGCCTGTAGCCGACACGCATTCAATTATTGATGCCCACTCGCGATTCTCTAGCGACTGCTTGTAAGCCTTGCTCTTACGGCTATCTGCGAGGACTCTAGTGTTTGCACATACCACCATAGCCTTGCCAGTCTCGTCCATATTCCACATATCCTTAGTGCGTATACCTAGTCGTACGCGAGTCCTCTCAAAGAGCTCAAGAAACGCGCGTATCTGTTCCTGTGTTGCGCCCTCAGCCCGCGAGCCCTCTATCTTTCTACCAACAATAGATGCGACGCGTAGGTTGCGCTTAAGAAAGAAGGATATCTAACGCTTGCCCACAGGATTGTTGTCACTATTCATCCTTAGGATTCGATTCGCCATTTCTCGCGCGCGCGCGTAGGACAGAGGAAACGCGCGTGCGTCCTCTTCAAGGATCCATTGTACGAAAAATTCCTCTTGTTGTGGAGTCAATCGCTGCTGGTATTCGTGGCTAGATTGACGTGTCTGTGTACCACGTAGTCGGGCCGCAAGCGTGCTTCGAGGGATCTCGTACGCCTTTGCAGCAGCTCGTTGACTAGTAAAAACACCGGAAACAACGTCGCTGATAGCTGCTTGAATTGCTGCTTCACGGGGATCCATTTTGGTTGCGTGGTTGTGGAGAAATCACGAGCGTGGAGTGGGTGGCCGAGTCCTGGGCGGGTGGCCAGCTTCAGTGGGTGGCCAGCTTCGGTGGCCGCTAGCTTAGCTTCTTTTTGTGATTCCAGTCCCGACTGTCAAGATCTCAGCCATCAAACAAGCATGCCCCTAGTACCAATCACCGATCATCGTGTCATGACATCTGGACGCAGCCACCAACGTCAGGCGGGTGGTGGCTTCAGCCGTGTGCAACGGTATATGCTTGCTCCTCGGAACATTCGAACCCTATCACAATTTGTGCTGTCTTCACAAAAATACGTCTGCAGTCAGCCCATGTTTGACTTCGCCGTTCATGAACAGCGATCCCGACACTTAGTGGTTCGGACTATATGTGGACCCTTGACGCGCATCTTCCGTCACAGTCGTCATGCCTCCATCTCCATGCCGTTGGCTAAGACTAAGTCCTCCTCAACCTGATTGATTGACCGCTATGGCGCAACGGCGGCCGTTGGTTGCTTTTAGATCGTCTTTTAGAACGGGTTCCCCCAGGCAAAGTCTATTATCCATCTAGTAACTATATTTTTCCTCAATATCGTCGATACTCTGTCTTACACGTATTCCTATCCACACAACCACCTCTTTCATATTTACTTTCTCGCACACTACCTCCAAATTCACAATGCCGCGCATGTCCACCTACCGCGAGCCTAAGCATCCACCACGCCGCCGTTCCCGGAGCCAAAACGGCCATAACAGTCCTCTCCCACGCGATGAATCAGATTATGACGTACCTGCTCCTGAACCCAAGAAGCGTCTCAGTAGCCTTGAAGGGCACATGGTAGCAGCCAGCGGAGAGTTCGTTGGCACTTTCATGTTCCTCTTCTTTGCTTTTTCCGGTCAACTCATGATCACCAATCAAGCGAGTGACCGATCAATCCTAAACGGTGGGACGAGCAGTCAGCAGAGTATCTTTACAGCCTTAGTGTATGGGTTTAGTTTGTTGGTTAATGTCTGGGCTTTCTTTCGGATTAGTGGAGGGTTGTTTAATCCTGCGGTATGTACCTACCCAATACTCCCCTGGGAATACCTGTAGGAATGTCAAATAATACTAACATACCTTAGGTAACGATTGGTATGGTAGTTGCCGGTCAACTCCCCTTTATACGTTCTCTCTTTCTCGTTCCTGCTCAGCTGCTCGCATGCATGTGTGCTGGCGGACTCGTCGAATGCATGTTTCCCGGAGACATTGGTGTTGTCAACACTTCACTATCCGGCGGTACCACCATCGCCCAAGGTGTTTTCATCGAAATGTTCATGACTGCCGAACTCGTCTTTGTCGTTCTGATGCTAGCTGCCGAGAAGAGCAAGTCCACCTTCATAGCACCCATCGGAATTGGTCTGGCGCTTTTTGTCGCCATGATGGGCGGTATGTCATCCTGTCTTGCTCGAGAAGAGCTAATCTCCCAGTTCGTAAAGCTAACAATAAATAGGGGTCTACTTTACGGGCGGTTCACTTAACCCGGCACGCAGTTTCGGTCCTGCTGTCGCTTCACGGTCGTTTGTCGGCTACCACTGGATTTACTGGGTTGGCCCTATACTTGGTGCGCTCCTTGCTTCGGCATACTATCGCTTTGTCAAGCACTTCAACTACGAACAGGCGAACCCTGGCCAGGATTCTGCGGGTGGTCACTTCTCTGCATAAGGGTCCCGGGAAGCTTACAAAACACATAAATGCCAAATGTGCAATCTAACTCAGGCGGGTGGTAGGTCCTGCTAGATATCAGAGTTAAAAGGGTATTGGAATGAAACTAAGGAATTCAAACATACAGCGTGGAGTTATAGGAGTGTTTTGTGGATGTTAGATAGCCACCGCACTAGAGTTGCTAACAATCAATCACCATTTAAGAAAAGTCCACTACAACACGAACACTCAACGTTGGAACAAAGAGAATCAAACCTCGAGGGTATATACTTACAACGCTCTATTTTCATTTCCTGCAAGCAGAATATCCTAACTTTAGGTTGTTGTTGCGTTATAGTGCTCTAAAGGTTGAGTTGTAGCGGTTGCGAGGAGGGCGCTATGCCGTTTTCAATTTCAACGACAAAACTAAGCCTAATCTAAATTTCGACGACAAGACTAGGCCTAATTTAGATTTTAACGACAGTTCTCTCTTAGCTTGTTATAGTGTAACTATAACAGTCCTGCTATTTGGCGATCTGGATGTAGTTAGAGGCCGTACGGGCCGATTAGCCCCTTAAACTAAATACACCTACTAATTATTCTACTACAGTCTTGTATCCCCTTCTGCCTGTTGCTGCTATTTTCTGCTATTACTATTCTGCTGTTACTGTTACCTCTGTTCTAGTTACAGTAAATAGCAGTTACTACTTACTCTTACTACTACTGCCCTTTAACGCTTGTATTAGTTTATAGTGTAGTAGAGTGTTTTAGTAGTTCTCTATCAGAACGTGTACTCGATGCAAGTGAGTAGAGTATATTGTGTGTGTTGTATGTGTAGTGTTCGTTGTCTGAACGGGGTTCAGACATTCCTGTCCCTTTTCTACTCTCTGTGTTATCTCCAAGCCCGATAGCCCTTCAAATCTGCAGTTCCCCTAGATTCTCTACCACATCCCTCCCTCACTTAAGAAGAAGGCCTCCTCTTCTTCACTTAGAACAGCGATCTAACTCGACTGTCTAAGCGCTACATCGCAGTTTTGCCTAGAAGCTCCTCCCCTTCTATACTACCTAACTAGTAAGAGACTCCTAGATGTAATAGCCGAATGCTTTCTTCCTACCGTCCTTTAAGCCAGCTTCTCCGTGTTCTATAGCTAGTTCTGTACCTTCTACCTATTATTCTGAGGCTTCTTTCCTCTATTCCTCTAAGAACCCTCCTAATTCCTTCGCATTCCTCTAATTGTCTTTTGGCGGTTTAGAGGAGAGTTAGTCCTTAACCCTCTTCTTCTTAGGTATGTTAGCTACTTTCTAAAGCCTATTCTGCGACTGCAGACTCCTGTCTATCGTAACATAGCTACTCCTGCTACTATTTCCTTTACCTATTCTTTTGCAATTCTGCATAACATCCTTACTGCATCCTAAGTCTTTCTCTGTCTTCCTGTCGTTGCCCCGTCTACATAGACCCTAACCTTGTAGCGCCCTACTTATTCTAAGTGTCCCTTAGGCAGCAACTAGCGAGCAAACACAACAACAACATAGCTTTAAGTTCCCGCCTTAACCTTTTTAGCTTCTTCCTCTTTCTTCCCTGCTACTGTAATTAACGCTCTTCTTGCTTTAAGCTTTATTATTACCTGCTCTCTTACTGTCTCGCACTTCTCGCGCTGCACCCGCCCTCCGTCCTCTAGAATGTCTCCCTTACTATCGCCTAATAATACTACCTGCGCTTGCGCTTAAGCTCCTCGTGCCCTTGCTCCGCGCCGCACTCGTTCTCTCTCACCTTCTTCCGCTACCTCAGAGCCGCCTGCTCAGTCCGCCGCCGCTGAGACCGAGGATGATGCTGCCGCTCTGAATCGCCTTCAGGCCTACGTGTCCGGTGGTGCTATAAGCGCCGAAGACGCCGCCGCATGCGCCGATGCGCTTAACAAAGAGTCTGAGGATTCTGATGATGGAGAGCTGAGTGACGTTCAGACCGCTGCGCCCATTCCTTAAACCCCTTCTGTTCGCTGGCCTGACTCTCGCGCTGCTCTAGCCATTTCCCCGTCTAAGGCTGTAGTTCGTAGCGGACAAGGCTGTATCGGCGTGCCTCTTCTCACCTATCCCTCCTTATCTTCTAGGCGTCCGCGCATTATAGAGTACTGTAAGTTAGAGATTCTTTTCGTTAGCATTTCTGAACATCCTTCTAACATCTCCCAATTATAGTGCGCAGCTCTTTCGACACTGTTATTAACATCCCCTAGATTATGGCCCTTTAGCAACATCTTTACACCCTTAATAGGCAGGGCTATGCTCTTAGTCCTGCTATTGCTCTTCTTGCTATTAACGCTGTTAATAGTCCTTCTAACGTTCTCGTTTCGCTAGATATTGCGCTCGACCTCTGCAACAGGTTCACTACAGTTAGCGCCTACTTCCGCCTAGGTAGGAAGTCTAAGTAAGAGCTCTTTAATTCTAACCTTAAGGCGCTTATCCTATTACATTCTGTTAGCGCTTAATCTTAGGGTAGAGTTAATAAGCTTGCTGATGTCTTTTTAGAGTAGGATACCTGTAGTTAATGCTGTTCTCTGTCTTATAGGAAGTGCTATAGCACCTACAGCTAGGCCTATATTAACAGGCTACTGTTAAAAGGTAGTATGTGTACTAACTGCCTTCGCTCGGGTAGCCTTTAGGCCTGCTCCTTCCGCCGTAAGTTCCTAACCTGCCTTTAGACTTCCTGTTCCTAATCCTTTAGGTTTATTGCTAATGTTAGGTTTAGTAGGAACTGTCCCCGCTCGTTGCTCTGTTGCTCCTAGCAGCGTGTTTAAATCCCTCTTAGCCTCCTTTATTATTCCTAATCCTAGTCCTACTCTGCATTTAACACGTACTTCTATTAGCAAGACTCTTACTAAAGCCCCTAAGAGTAAGAACAAGGCATTGTTTGCCTAGACTACTAAGTCTAATGCCACTTAGTACAGGCGGTACTTAGCTAATGTTCAATCTAGGCGGCTTTCTAACTTCGCGCCTTCCCTAGATATTATGCCTAATGATGTTTTAGAGGTCTTCGAGAATAATAAGGATAATGAAGATAATAAGCCTTCTACTCCTGTTTTATTAAGGTCAGCGGCTAAGCGCAAGGAACCTACCCGTTTATCTCCTGCTACTTCTCCTACAAAGCGCAAAAAGACTGCGCTCTAGGGTCTAAACGCGTCTTCGATTAAGAAGAAGAAGGGTAAGCCTTAGTCTTTAGGAACTACCGCTCCTGCCTCTGCTCGCTCTCTTTGTTTAGGTAGGGATGTTATTGTTTTTACTCCTAATGTTCCTTCTGTCACTGCTACTCCTAGTTTTTCCGCTACTAATAATACTAAGGAAGTTAGTTTTAGAAACTTTGTTAGTAGCGATGCTAAGGTAGTTTCTAGCGGTGTTTCTAGTTCTAAGGAGGATAACGACGGTTCTACTGCTAATGTTGCTAGTAATGTAGCTCTAGTAACACCTGCTCCTTAGAAGCTTAGTTAGTTTAGCTAGCTTACTCCCCTACTCCCCTAAGAGGTTTTCGTAGTGTAGAAATAACATCCCTTAAATCTTTAAACTTTTTGTCCTTTGTGCTTTCCTTAGTGTCTTATTCCTCTAGTTCTTGCATTCCTCTTTTCTTTCTTATACCTCTTACCTCCTTCCCTCCCTTACTTATAAAGAAGGTCCCTTCTTCTTTTCGCTGTAAGTTCCTAAGAGACGTTTAGACTTACTTGTCCTACTAGAACATCGGTCTTTTCTTAGTTTCTCCCCTTAATTCCTTAGTCCGTAATAGTTAGGAGATACGTTAATGCTTTCTCGTAGTGCTATATTCCTGATTCTCCTTAGGTCGTACTCTATAACTTCCTTAGTTCGTCCTTTAGGTTCTACTATAGATTTACAATCTATAGGTTAAGTTCCCTGTACGTTCCCCTAGCTTTCTATAAGCTTCCTTTTATTATCCTGCTAGTATTAAAAATAGAGCAGGGTCCTAACTTCCTAATTCCTAATCCTGTTTTGTAGGTGTTTAATGTAGCTACAGCTAAGCGGCTTTTAGTTAGGAATTGCATAGCTAGTCCTTCTACTTTTTCCTGTCCTTATTCTGTCCTCGCCCCTTTCGACATTCTGCCTGCATCTGCATGTTTTCCTGCTATTCTTACCGCTTCTATAGTTGCCTAGCAGGTGTTGTAGGATAAGTAGGTCTGTTACTGTAGGTTTGATAGGTTTTTAGAAAGCAAACGCTCTAGGTAAGATTCTTACAACAACAACATTACCTCTTTACTTCCTTATTTTTTGTCTTTTCCTCTACTTCGCCCTTCTTGCTACTAATTCTTCGCTTGATTCTTGTCCCTTCTCTTGTTCTGTCTGCACATTCTCTCTGTAATTCCTTAAGATGTCTAGCTTTACGCCTATTAACGCGCCCGCCAAACGCTCTTTAGCGCGCTTAGATGTACTATAAGGTACCTCTATTATAGCTAGCGATTTTGCTCGTGCTCGCTCTTAAGCTCCTCGTGCCCTTGCTCTGCGCCGCACTTATTCTCCCTTACCTACTCCCGCTACATTAGAGCTGCCTACTTAGTCTACTGCTAATAAGACTAAGGGTAATGCTGCTGCTCTAAGTAGCCTTTAGGAAGAAGGTTTTACTAGAACTATAAGCGCTGCAGACGCTGCTGCATGCGCTAATGCGCTTAACGAAGAGTCTAAGGATTAGGAAGATAGCAGTTCCGATGAGATGCTGACTGACTCGCCCTCCCCTCAGTCCCCTCGCCGTTCCCTGCATAGTTTAGTTAGCCTAGCTGTAGACTAAGATAAAGAGTATTTAGACGTACTAATGCTATTTAAGTCTAGCCCTGCTCTTAATTAGTCTACTTCCTGCCGCCTTATTCCTAGTTCTGCTAGCGATACTAGTTCTAGGCTTTACTACTTTCCCTAACTTCCTTCTGCGCAATATCGCATAGCGGAGTTTAGTAAGTCTTAACTTCTTAGGTTCTGCATTTCTAAACATTCTTCTAACATCCTTGCTTTATAGTCCTTAGCTCTGCAGATAA